TTAAGGGATGTAAACCCAATGATTGTTAGAGATTATCCCCTGGGGCTAGCCCGACCCCCGAGCATTTCAGGGCACATATTCCCTTATTAATTAATAAAGAATACACTTCTTACTATCTACTTCTCTTCTTGCTATTTCATGACTAGACCTCACAATAACCTTGTCTAAGTAAACAAAAAAAAAGAGAAAAAGAAGAATAAAAAGTGCGTCCAAGTAATCAAAATTTACCATTGTCATCACAATCAAGCTGGTCGATTAGAAGCACGAAATAAGGCTTTACCTCACTATAAATAATGTCATGATTCGCCAATATTGTGAAAAAAAATATATATAAACAATAAAGAAAAATCCCATAGAAGCCAAAGGCCAAAAAAGAGAGGGCAAAAAACCCGGTAGGAAACCCACTAAGGGGGCTACGCAAAAAATAGGGTCAACCTGGTAGGACACCCGAACAAAAATAAAGGGTAGCCTAGGCAAAAGTTAGGGTTATAAAATAAGGTCTGCTAGGATTCCCTAAACAAAAAGAAAAAGGAGGAACCTAGACAAAAGATAGGATCAAAACAAAATATCCTAGTTCGAAAACCCAAAGGGCGATCTAGGGAAATAAACCAGCCATAAAAAGCAATGGAAATAGGCTAAAGTGCAAACCCGAAACAAAAAAAAGAAGAAAACGTTTGCTTAGACAAAAAGCTTAAACACTTAGGCCTAACCTTAGCCAGCCATTCTTACAAAATCTTTTCTAAATAAAATCAACCGTCTAAAACACAAGCCGTTGAATTTACCCTTTACTTCTTTTCTCTTGACCCTCACAACATTATTCTAACAATTAGTTTGGGAATATGGAGGCGTATAGTCAACAAGAGGATTGAAACCCCTAAAGTGAAGAAAGAGGGACACTAACATGGCAAAGTGTGCTCTCCAAAATGAAAAGAAAAGAAAAAGAAGAGAAAATTATTCTTCGGACACGTAAAGTCCAGAACAGTACAACCAAGTACAGCAGAAGAACAAAGATCAGAGGGCACATGTCTCTACAAGACACACCAGTTAATCCTTCTAAAAAACTAATGAAATAGGCATTATAGGACATCAAACATGAAAACATTGCATGCATAAAATGTTTTTGAACAAGGTCCTATTTTCTTCAAAAAAAAATCCATCTAAAAAAAATGAGACTGTCATCTCGTCCTCCCAGACCGTCGTCTCGACTCTCGCCAAAACGAGACCGCCGTCTCGATTTTGACAAACATGAGACCACCTTCTCGCTTGGCGAGATGGCCGTCTTGCCATAGGTTAAAATCGAGACCGTCGTCTCGAAGTTCCAGACGGCGGTCCCGAACCTCGCCAATATGAGATGGCGGTCCCGAATCTAAACGAAAATCCTATAAATAGGGGCGCCTAGGGGGGGTTTCAAACACTCTCTCCTGCACTACAGTCCTACCTTCCTTTCTCCTATATTCAAGCATCCTACCACCAAAAATGCATAGAGGAGAGGCATCTAGAAAGAGAAGGGGTTCTTCTAGCCCCAGTAGCTCCACGACCCCTACTCCACAAGATCCAACGCAACTCTCACCCTCACACAAGGCCCGCTTGGAACACATCCGGGGATACACTTGGCACCCCATCCTCTAGTCTCCGCCCACTCACGTCTACCCACAGGTGGTGATGGAATTCCTCGACTCCATCGCCTATTGCGAGATTCCCACCATGGTGTCGGGCCTCCCACCGACGAAGATGGTGACCTACTTCATGAACGGGATGTATCGGACCACAACCCTGGACGAGTTCAATGTATCCATTGGATTCGTCCGGCTCAAGGACGTCTTGACTCGGGAATACCAGGAGGCCATCTGCGAGCGCCCCGCTACCCTCACCTTCGGCGAGATGTGGGAGGAGCTGACTGGGATGCACACTCTGCCATCCCTGCTGAACGGCTCCGCACTCATCCCCGCCCTCCGCATTTGCCATAAGCTGCTGGCTAGGACGGTCGATGGGCGGAAGGAGAGTCAGGGTAAGGTCACCCACCCAGATCTCTTCGCCCTCTACTGCATGAGTCAAGGGCGCCGGTGCAACCCCGGCTACTTCTTCCTGAAGGCCCTCAAGGACTTCGGGAACCGTCCTATGGGAGCCATCCTCATGGCTCCCCTCATCACCCCACTGGCAGAAAGATTGGGGTGCAGCGGCAGGGAAGAACTGGCCTCCAACCTTCGACCCAAGACTATCAACGGGTTTGTCCTGGTCAACATGGGGATGCTGCTATGCCAAGGGTCTCGGTTGATCCTCCACCCCTCGCTGGACATAACTCTGGATCTCTGGGACATCGTGGCAATGCAAGATCTCCCGACACCCCCGGAGTTCCAGCAACAACAACAAAAGTAGCAACAACATCAGCAATAGCAGCAGTACACAGACGACTTTGCTAGCATCAACTACAACCTCTACGACTTGCGCCAACAATTCGACCAAATGTCCCTAAGACAAGACCAGATGTCTTTAAGGCAAGACGTCTTCAACACGAGAATGGAGACCTTCGGCCAGATACAAGAGGGAATAAGGCAAGACCTGATGATGTTCCGGCAAGAACACATCGACGCAATCCGAGACCAAGCAGAGTTTCAGAGGCACATGTACCGACAATTCCCTTCTTCCAGATCGTCTCCCAACTCAAGTCCTCCGTCTTAGGGATAGTACTAAAAAATAAATGCTGTAACCAAAAAATTTATCATAAAAAAAAAGAAATTCATCCATTTTTGCTCTCCTTTTCGAAAAAGTAAGCGTAGCAAAAAGAAACTACAAGTAAAAAGACTTACACTCAAACCCCAGAAAAGCCAAAATCTGAAATCGCGAGAAAAAAGATATAATCACGAAAAAAGGCAAGATTAAAAACAAAACAAGTCAACCACATTGATCAAGAGTTTCTCGACAACCAAGTAAGAAGTCGAACAACAAATAAACAAAATCATCCCGGCAGCCAACAAGCTGGATGAGCACCAACAGAATCCCCGGCACAGATCAGACGACCACTCCCGAAAAAAACATAAACAAAGACAAAAGAAAGCATCTCAACCCACGATGCATGAGCCACTTGAGTAGTAAGCCGCCACCACCACCAGTCCTACGCAGTGGACTGTACCAGCTTGATGGGGGGGGGGTTTATACTCATCCAGTCCGACACACAGCGGACTGCAACTACCAGCTTGATGGGAGGTTTATACTCATCCAGTCCGACGCATAGTGGATTGCAACTACCAGCCTGATGGGGGGTTTATACCCATCAACTGAAGGATCGGCTACCGTCAGAAGGAGTACCCTCAGCTTGATGGGAGGTGCACAACACACTTTTACCCAGAAGATCAACCGCCGCAAGACGGAACATCCGAAGGGTAACCGGGCAAGAGGGTCAACTCCTT